CTGCAGACAGTGACGGATTGTAGGTAGCTTAAGAATCTGTTGTGGTTCCTGGCCATGGGCCTAAATTTTAGGGTTCGATTCAGTTGGGGATTTGTCACTGTTTATTGTTTAGTGACGTGACAAACACACACACACACACACACACACACACACACACACACACACACACACACACACACACACACACACACACACACACACATAGAAAATTACACACACACACACACACACACACACATACACACACACATACACCACACACACACACACACACACCACACACACCCACAGCAGCGTACGCGATTTCCAATCCAGGAACCCCTACCGAGACAAAGAATACAGTTTCATTCACCTGATGCCTCTGTTTACCTAGCAGTAAATAGGTACCTGAGGGTTGGCGCCTACGGGCTGCATCCTGTGGAACTGAGAGAGAGAGAGAGAGAGAGAGAGAGAGAGAGAGAGAGAGAGAGAGAGAGAGAGAGAGAGAGAGAGAGAGAGAGAGAGAGAGAGAGAGACGTGGCCAGAGAAGTGGCTGTTAGTCTTTAAAACCCACAAATGCAAGGTTATAAGAACATAAACCAAAAATAGAGCCGGCGGAGCAATACAGAGTAAAGAGGCGAGGAAGCCATCAGGATCAGTAGATCAGAACCCGCAACCAGACAACACGCCGGAGGTACACATCCACAGAATCACATCAGCGTCATATGCTAACTTGGCTAACATTAGGAAAACCTTCAGAAACCTACATAATGATGCTTTGGAAAATGTTTACAGCATATTCAGCATAAGGTGAAGAAAAAAATTGCCATAAATTCAATCAATATTATTATATATACTATTATATATATATATATATATATATATGTCGTACCTAGTAGCCAGAACTCACTTCTCAGCCTACTATTCAAGGCCCGATTTGCCTAATAAGCCAAGTTTTCCTGAATTATTAATATTTACTATAATTTTTTTTCTTATGAAATGATAAAGCCAACCCTTTTCTCTAGGTATGAGGTCAATTTTTTTTTATTGGAGTTAAAATTAACGTAGATATATGACCGAACCTAACCAACCCTACCTAACCTAACCTAACCTATATTTATAGGTAAGGTTAGGTTAGGTAGCCAAAAAAAGCTAGGTTAGGTTAGGTTAGGTAGGTTAGGTAGACGAAAAAAACATTAATTCATGAAAACTTTGGCTTATTAGGCAAATCGGGCCTTGAATAGTAGGCTGAGAAGTGCGTTCTGGCTATTATAATATATATATATATATATATATATATATATATATATATATATATATATATGCAATGAGTGAGGGAAGGCGGTACAGTGGCAAGAGGAACTGACACAGGTTACAGGTGTGTGGGGGACGATAGGGCAGGTGTATGAAGCAGGGGGGGGGAGGGGGGGGAGTTGTGCAGCCCCCCTCCCCACCTCAGGCACTGACGTAGTCCCCCATAGTACCAAGCGACGGTGGACTCCCAAGGTAACAGCCATACCTTGCTGATGGCACCATATACTTCCCCATCACAGTCATTAGCAGCCAACTGCTGTTTTAAGCCGCTGGGGGGGTCAAGAACAACGGGGCACCGGACTAACAACACCTGGTGCAGAACACACCTGTCAACACTGGCTCATGGCCAGCCTTGAACCTTAAGACAGGGGGGGAGGGAGGCTCTCAGGGCCGGGCCACATATATATACATATATATACTCATTTTGGGTATTTTGATCACGGCAGTTTGGCCATGATTGGATTCCAAGCGCATCGTATAGCCCAGCCAGGATCACCTGCGCTCCAGACCTTATTAATGGTCTCCAGAATGGTCTGGATCACAGTAGATATTGGCAAGGATATTGGGTACTGGTGGGCATGGAGTTGGGGGTACTGGTGGGCAGGCAGTAGGGGGTACTGGAGCTTTTAGTGCGCAGCGTTGTTGATGGTATACAGAATGCATCCTTGACGATACGTGGGATGAACTGGTGATGATATATATATATATATATATATATATATATATATATATATATATATATATATATATATCCGGCGAACCAATTGCAAGACACGAAATATAAAACTAAAAAGTTCCCCATATCAAGTTTACAACTTGAAAAATATACAGGTGGAACAGGAGCAGAATAAAAACAATATTCCAATCATGTAGAAAGAAATCCTCAAACAGAGAGGAGCTAGAACACTCTACCAATCAAGGAGGTGAAGTCTCCCAATCATAAGGGACAAGAAGTCCTAATTATAAAAGATAAATCTTCCAATCATTGGGCTAATAGGCTTCGAATCACAAGACTAAAAATCTTGCAATCGCAAGACTAAGTTTTTCCAGCCGTATAGCAACAAGTCTGACAATTCTAAAGCCTGAGGTCTTCCGGCTTCCATAAGGCATGTGGTCAAGAATGTCAGAGCCTCGACATCGCAACCCTCGCTTCCTCTCATATGACGAGGCAAGGCTCACAACACCAGGATGTCCAGTTATACAACTCAAAAACCACGAGGATACATGTAACATTACTCACAAACGTTTTATCCCAAATTAGGGAAGCAAAGTCAGCAGATTTGCAGACATGAATTAGTTTAGAAGCGAGAGTAAGAGAGAGAGAGAGAGAGAGTTAGAGAGTTTCAGAGGGCTCCGAGAGGGAAATTCAGCTTCATCTGCTGAGAAAAAGAGTTTGGACTTACATCACAAAAACTCGTTTTGATGACCACTTCTCCACACCCCATCCCTCTCCCTCTAAATCCCTCCCTTCCCCTTCCCCTTTTCCACCCCTCCCTTCTGCACATTCACACAATTGCCTCAACCCAATCATTTCATCCCATTTCGACAAAGCCACTCCTCTCCCTTTCCCCCTGGAGGGTGTTTGTGTATTACTGTGTAGGTCAGACTGCTTGCTTCCCGGGTACCTGCCTGCCTGCCTGCCTGCCTGCCTGCCTGCCTGCCTGCCTGCCTGCCTGCCTGCCTGCTTGCCTGCCTGCCTCCCTGCCTGCCTGCCTGCCTGCCCCTCTGCTTCACTCTAATGCCTTCAACACACACTGCTCCGTCAATACTAAACACACACAAACTACCGCTCCAGCAAGTGTCACCTGGATTCTCATTTCACTGGGAGTAAAACCACAGAAACAGTCCAGGATTCGAGTCCGTCGAGGACAGAGTCCGTCGTGGACAGAGTCCGTCGAGGACTGAGTCTGTCCTCAGAATGAGCATGGCATCACTGACCTAAAACATATAAAACTATACCCCCACTTTAACGCTTATACCCACCTATATATTCTCCCCTTATGTGGCTCGTCAGCCTATATACCCACCACATATCCTGCCGTCATGTGGTCCGTGAGCCCTCATGCCGCCATGGTGGCCACTGGGAGCCCGGAGAAAACCACAGCCTGCTCGCATACAGTTATGGTGGTCCGGGTTCGATCCTGATCACCTTAATAACACTGGTCCTCACGACCCTTGACCTCTCCTGATTCTCTTTCTTGCTCTCTCCATCCTGTTCACAAGCGCCTCTACTGACCGCCTTCTCTCTCTCTCTCTCTCTCTCTCTCTCTCTCTCTCTCTCTCTCTCTCTCTCTCTCTCTCTCTCTCTCTCTCTCTCTCTCTCTCTTTCTCTCTCTCGGGTAAGCTGAAAATGAGGAGACGTTTTGGACGGCTTAGTCTGCACGTCTGCTGATCTGTAAGTGCCGATGAGTCTATTGGCATGAGTCAATGAGTCTGTTAGACTGAGTCAATGAGTCTGTTAGACTGAGTCAATGAGTGTTAGACTGAGTCAATGAGTCTGTTAGACTGAGTCAATGAGTGTTAGACTGAGTCAATGAGTCTGTTAGACTGAGTCAATGAGACTTAGACTGAGTCAATGTGTCTCTTTAATATTAGTCATGCTGGGTTTAATGAAAATTAATCCATATATTCACCTCAATATCTGTAAGTCCTGATTAAGTTCGGAGAGTTATATCATCTGTAAAAGGAGAAGAGTTGTTTAATGCTTGGATATTGTATTTGGAGTAGATATGTCTATTAGGATGTTGCAAATTCCTTCCTTGGGTTACGTTCAGATCTTCCTCAAAGATGTATATAGGTTCCTGCGAATATTTGTAGCCATGGGGAACCGACTTGTGAGATATATATTTATTTAATTTATGAATTTATATAGTGTTTATATTTACATTAATTTATATATTTCGATAGCAATAAGATTATTGCTTGCTTCCAAGATTAATTCTTGCTTCCCGTTCCATTGTTCCTGTCAAAGGACACTTGCTGTAAAGCCGGAATCCTATATATATATGACAGCTATATCAGAGGAAATATTGGTATATTCCTTCGAAGATAAAGACCAAGGAATGAGTCGTTGCCTCTCGTGCTAACCGGCTCGCCCTATATCTACCTAACATAACTGGCCAGAAATTTGGTAATAAACGTTTTTTTTTGTAAGACACTTCCCTTGTTTAGATGTTGACTGCATGTTGATGATGGAAGAAGGACTAATTTGATCTTCATAACACTTCGTCCAAGGGAGAATTATAGGAGCTGAACTCGCTCCTGCGACTCTGGTCTTAAAACAATGGTTGACCTCTTCTACTACTGACGCTCTGGCTCTCTGATAATTGATAATTAACTGATAATTAAGTTAATTCAAATGAGATCGTTTTATGATGTTAAAAGTCAAAAGACTGCAGTATTAAGAATAATTCCCAGCAGAATAGCTGGCGAATTTAATAGCGACGTGACAATGATATCCCATTTTCTATTGACGGAAAATTCCAAGGCTACATTTTCTATGGGTTAACTTGTATATACAACAGCAGCAATATTATCTGCTTATTGTATTTAATATTAGTAAATGGTGTCGGGGTTATCCGTTGTTTCAAGGTCAGAGTGATGACCTAGTGCATCACCCTCAACCTTGCAAGGTCACCACCACCGTCATCATCACCATATTCACTATAACCATCATCACCAAGAACATCATCATCACACACTATTCATCACCATGAGCTGCAGTTGATGCTGCTATTTCTCTCCCCTTCTTTGATCTGTGTTCCTTTGTCTGCTGCTTCTATATTAATATCATCGGCTTGGTTTCTTGCTATAAAATAAACGACGTTCAGAGCACCTTCGTCTTGTCCTTCTTCTTCTCTTTTGGTTCTCCTTCTCCCACTTTCTCTTCTTTTCTCCTCCTCTTCCTCCTCCTCCTCCAAGACTTTCTGGCCCGGGTCCAAAAATAAAAATCCTCTCCAATCCCCCGCTTCAGCCTGTCGCAATTATTTACACTCTCTTTCTCTTCCTCTCTATCTCTTCCTCTCTCTCTCTCTCTCTCTCTCTCTCTCTCTCTCTCTCTCTCTCTCTCTCTCTCTCTCTCTCTCTCTCTCTCTCTCAGGCTGATAACAACTGCTAATCACGCTTTACGTCTCGCGGTCACTCTCAGTCACTCTGAGGGCGTGACGCCAAAGAGTGACCATCCTCAGCTTGCGTCAGCTACGCCTCTGAAGGTACTCTTCGCCTCCATGATAATATCCGAGCATCTTAACTGGTCCTCGTCTATCAGTCAAGGGGGGAGACTGACTCACTACCCGACCAGTCGAGTGTTTGGGGGTAATTGTAGGGTTGATGTGGTTGTTGGCCGCAAGCTCATGAGAAAGTGAGGTGGTTAATAAAGATCAGAGTAAATGAGGGACTCGAACCGGGGGTTCGATCCGTCATCAGACTGTAAACGTCGATGCAGTGGCCAACCCCCCAAGAGATCCATTCAGAAATTTTGATGTACTGTCTAATCGAACTGAGTATTTTCTCTTATAAAAATTAACTTTGTTATATATTTAAATCTACTGTCTCAATATGGATGGTAGATCGAGGGGTCTCGCTTCATGCAGGACGGCGTTCAATCCCCAACCGTCCAAGTGGTTGGGCACTATTCCTCCCCCCCCCCCTGTCCCATCCCAAATCCTTATTTTGACCCCTTCCAAGGGCTTGATAGTCGTAATGGTTTGGCGCTTTCTCTTGATAGTTCCCTCCCCCCTCCCCCATCCTTAACTGGGGGGGGGGGAGGGGGTGGTTGGCGGCAGCATTAACGAGCACCTGGCCATTGTTTAAGAGGACGGGAAGCAGGGTTCCCGATGCATGGTGCCAACACCAACTGCTCCCTTGCATCATTCCATTACCAACTTGAGTTTGGTTAAAGTAGTTGGTCATTGAGGAGAAAAGGAAAGCTGCCGTGGCTGTTGAGAATTGTTGAAAAGGTTGTTTATGATAAGCTTTCGAAATATTCAATTATAAAACCTATGATCCCCCCCCCCCCTCAAAAAAATGAACCTGGCAGCTGTCAGCAAGATGATGGAAGTAGTTGAAAGTTGGAGCGGTTGATTGACGAGGGTCAATCAACCTCGTAAGGCCTCGTAGCCTGGTGGATAGCGCGCAGGACTTGTAATTCTGTGGCGCGGGTTCGATTCCCGCACGAGGCAGAAACAAACGGGCAAAGTTTCTTTCACCCTGAATGCCCCTGTTACCTAGCAGTAAAATAGGTACCTGGGTGTTAGTCAGCTGTCACGGGCTGCTTCCTGGGGGTGGAGGCCTGGTCAAGGACCGGGCCGCGGGGACACTAAAGCCCCGAAATCAACTCAAGATAACCTCAAGAAGGGTGTGACGTCGCAGTGGCTTAACCAAGATTGTTTATAAGTTGCTGTGATCAACACGGTATGGTCACTTACGAAGAATAACTATGAAATGTGTCACTATTGGTGAGTTACCACTATTGGTTCACTCTGTTTTGAGTTTTGTCCTCGAGGCCTATAGGGTCTTGGTGAGGAACCACCCCTTAGTTCACTCTGTCGGTGGTGGCGGCGAGTGATTGTGGTGGTGGCGAGTGATTGTGAGGTGGTGGCGAGTGATTGTGGTGGTGGCGAGTGGTTGTGAGGTGGTGGCGAGTGATTGTGAGGTGGTGGCGAGTGATTGTGAGGTGGTGGCGAGTGGTTGTGAGGTGGTGGCGAGTGATTGTGGTGGTGGTGGCGAGTGATTGTGAGGTGGTGGCGAGTGATTGTGTGGTGGTGGAGAGTGCACCGAGGTCTGCTTGAACAGTCTAGCAAGCAGTCCTGGCCTTGGGATCTGGTTCGTCCGGTGATGAGGTTTCGTGTTTAACAGTTGGTGTCGGACTTCTTGTCCTGTGTCGGACTTCTGGTCCCGTGTCGGACTTCTGGTCCTGTGTCGGACTTCTGGTCCTGTGTCGGACTTCTGGTCCCGTGTTAGACTTCTGGTCCTGTGTCGGACTTCTGGTCCTGTGTCGGACTTCTGGTCCTGTGTCGGACTTCTGGTCCTGTGTCGGACTTCTGGTCCCGTGTCGGACTTCTGGTCCTGTGTCGGACTTCTGGTCCTGTGTCGGACTTCTGGTCCTGTGTCTGACTTCTGGTCCCGTGTTAGACTTCTGGTCCTGTGTCGGACTTCTGGTCCTGTGTCGGACTTCTGGTCCTGTGTCGGACTTCTGGTCCTGTGTCTGACTTCTGGTCCTGTGTCGGACTTCTTGTCCTGTGTCTGACTTCTGGTCCCGTGTTGGACTTCTGGTCCTGTGTCGGACTTCTGGTCCTGTGTCGGACTTCTGGTCCCGTGTCGGACTTCTGGTCCTGTGTCGGACTTCTGGTCCTGTGTCGGACTTCTGGTCCTGTGTCGGACTTTTTAGGTTTGATGTCGGCTATTAATCCAGGCAATCCAATGTTTCCAGAAGCCTCGTCGTGTCCTGCGTGCTACTGGAAGGGGCCATTCCCAGCCTCTAACATCAGCACGGTCACAAATATCCTTTGTTTACGGTTTCTAAATTAGTTAACTCTTTAAATTAACTTTATATACAGTATATATATATTTCAAACCTCGAACAAACATACAAATATCACCGGCAATCATTTCTGTGGTTGAACTGGAAAAATAAAATGCATTGTATCTGTTGCTTCGTTCAACAACAAAAATTGAATTTTTAAAAATTTAGAGTTGTTCTAAATCATAAAATATTATGAATTTGGAAATATTAAAAATATATAGACACGCGTTAAAATATTAGGCATTATTAGTCATAACATGGGGGGAATTAAGCGTCTATTACCTTGTGTTTTGTTAAAAAAAAAATGTCATTAATATCAAATAAAAATTTACTACAATAACATCATTAAAACAAAATAAATGATATTCGCATAGTTTAATTTTTCCCACCCAAAATGTTGTACAACAAATTATGAACAATTTTAGTTCTGTTGATATCAGTAACTATCAGTAAATGATTTGAAAGGACTTTAATTCAATTAAAAATAGTGTTGGTTTCGTGGATCAATGTCTCCGGGACTTGGTCTCTCTCTCTCTCTCTAAATCAGGTCTCTCATAGTTGGTGGTCTGATCAGCTAGACTGTTAGACGCACCAGTTTGCGGTTCGACGTATGAGTCACAGTCCGGTTGATCAGGTGTTGTTTGGTAGTATTATCTCTCTCTTGAGCACCGTGAGAGTTGGGCTAGTTATATTGACCAAACCACACACTAGAAGGTGAAGGGACGACGACGACGTTTCGGTCCGTCCTGGACCATTCTCAAGTCGATGACTTGGGCTAGTTATGACCCCCTCTTGGTTTACAAGAAAAGTGTTGAAACATCTTGGGCCTCTAATGTTGATAATATTGTCTCTGTGTACCTATTGTACCTCTGTTTTTCATCAGGGCTATTTTACACTTCCTCTTTTCACCAGTATTGTCAACATTTTTACCCCTGTCTCAGTGACAAACAGAATTAAAAAATATACGTCCTTAGAGTTTGTCTATTTTTGTTTTTAAATAAAGCTCGAAAAACATTTGAATAGGCTTTCTTATGGAGTCCAAATACTGGTATACTCCCAGTTAATTGTTTCAGTTCTTATAGTCATCTTGACCTAGTTAGATCTTGTGACCTGCCAGATTGGCCTAAAAAAAAAAAAGGGTCAGCTGTTAGGGTCTGTGAATCCTTCGTGTGGAAGCAAGTGGGCCAGTGTGGGAGCTGCCTTTGTTTAATAGTCTGTGATCATTGGTATCTGCGGTCTGATGATTGAAGTGGGGACATTTGTGGCCACGATAACGTTCAATATGTTGTGGAGGTCAGACTGTATGACCTCCAGAATGAGGGAATATTTATATATCAATGATGTATATAATGTTGAACATACTAAATATATATATATATATATATATATATATATATATATATATATATATTATTATATATATATATATATATATATATATATATATATATATATATATATATATATATATATATATATATATATATATTATATCATTAGTATCTGCGCGTTTTTACGAAACGCGCTCGTGTCGCGTCAGACTAGAAATAAAAATGAATTTTGGAGAATTGATTTTTGATTTACCTCCAACAGTGAAAAGAAATGTACGAAAGATTGAGAAAATTCGTGTTAGAATTATTAATCTTACTTTTTCGGTCATATTTAATAATATATGTCTACAGGAAAGACTGCTACCAAAATATACTATATATATATATATATATATATATATATATACACAACATTCCCACGCCTCTCAACCATCAAGGAAGGGACGACCTTCCTGCAGTTTTCTGAGTTCCTATTATCTCATCTTACTGTTTACATCTTATCTTCTGGTCTTTCACCTCACATTCTTACCGTGTGTGTACCTACTTTCTCCACCACTCTGTATGGACTATTCATGCCCGTGGCACCTCTTGGGTGGCTTAATCTTCATCAATTAACTCTTTCTCTTTAAACCTCTTAATAATGGCCCAGGACGGACCCAAACGTCGTCTCTTCCTTTTTATTTTCAGACATGTGACTTGTGTGTGTGTGACATTTTTCAGCCCCGTCATTGTGACTTACTGCCTACATATGTGATACATGTAATATTATGATACATGTACATATGTGATACATGTAATATTGGGTTACACATGTTCCGGGCGCCTCGAGGCTTCCCATGATGTTTCTGTAATATTATTTCCATGCAATGTTTCTGCAATAGTTTTCATGGCAAATGAAGGGGGGGGGAATTGGACCTTTGACAAGCCCCCGACTTCCTGTCCTCGTCGAGGACAAGTCGCCCTCACTGCAGAAACTAATTGGCGGGTCGTGTTCCAGGGGAAAACAAGTTTGGGATGAGCTATGGGAAGGAAAAGGTGGTGTAAGCCTGCTAACAAGAGTCAGAAGTCATCTATATCTGCCTTGTGTATCTGTGCAACAAAAACTTTTGCCAAGGTGATTGTTCTCACTGACCTCACTCCTCTTATCAACAGCTGAATCCATTGACCGTCAGACTCATTGGTTGCCAAGAGTAGCAACCTGATTGGGTGGTTATAAATAGGAGCTGCCTCGTATTGGTCAATAAGCCTTCTGCAGTTACCTCTATTCTTATATTATTATTACGAGTCCATCGTTATATGGTCATCCAAGTTGGAAGCATTAAGATGAGTGCAAGATGTACTCGCCTAGTTGTTTTTTGGTGGGGGAGGATGAGCCACGGCTCTTGGGTCCCGCCTCTAAATGCTTAATCGACTGGTCTATATAGGTTCCAGAGTCATATCTATACTGAGTCTGTGCATTGAGTTTGGTTCCACCTCTTCTTATTAGAGCATTCCAATTGTTCACTACTCTAACACTGAAACAAAAAGATATAATGTCTCTATGGCTTATTTCCATCTATACCTCCTTGTTCGTGTTCTACCCCTGCTAAATAGGGGTAGAACACGAACACGGGGTCCTTGACTGCTCGATTTCCTTGGATATTTTGTATGTGGTAATCATGTAACATGAGGGTTTAACGCCTGTAGGCTGAGGGGCGCTGAGAGGCATTGAAGGACGCTGAGGGGCGCTGAGGGGGCGCTGAGGGGCGCTGAGAGGCGCTGAAGGGGCGCTGAGAGGCGCTGAAGGGGCGCTGAGAGGTGCAACACCGGTGTTGTGAAGGCGGCCCACACTGGACTGACGCAACATACCTGGCGCGAACCTCTGTAACATAACTAAACCAGAGTGCAGCTCCTACTTACATGTGCCATGCACGACGCCCAGGTAATCCACTCAACACCAGACTACACGATGAGTTTCACTCTCAGTCGGGTACAGGGGTGTTAAGATGCTCCACAGATGGCTTCCCCTACACCTGGGGTGCTTCACAGCTGGGGTGCTTCACAGCTGGGGTGCTTCACAGCTGGGTGCTCCCCACCAACAGCTGGGTGCTCCCCACCAACAGCTGGGTGCTCCTCCCCCACAGCTGGGTGCTCCTCCCCCACAGCTGGGTGCTCCCCACCACAGCTGGGTGCTCCCACCACAGCTGGGTGCTCCTCCCCACAGCTGGCTACTCCCACCACAGCTGGGTGCTCCCCACCACAGCTGGGTGCTCCTCCCCACAGCTGGCTACTCCCACCACAGCTGGGTGCTCCCCACCACAGCTGGGTGCTCCTCCCCACAGCTGGCTACTCCTACCACAGCTGGGTGCTCCCCAGCAACAGCTGGGTGCTCCTCCCCCACAGCTGGGTGCTCCTCCCCCACAGCTGGGTGCTCCCCACCACAGCTGGGTGCTCCCCACCACAGCTGGGTGCTCCTCCCCACAGCTGGGTGCTCCTCCCCACAGCTGGCTACTCCCACCACAGCTGGGTGCTCCTCCCCACAGCTGGCTACTCCCACCACAGCTGGGGTCTGGCACACGGCCCGCCAAGAAGCCCCGCCCCTCCCCCACCAGCTGACCCGCACCACAACAAGCCAGGACTCTCAGTCTCCCTCCCGGCGCCGCGGTGGTAACACGCGTCACTCCACGTGACATTCCTCTCTTTTAAGGATATTTCTCTCGAATCTATGATTCTGGTGCTCGCGTTAATTAAAAACGCAAGATTGCGGGTGTATTGTCATATCTGTGAAGAAATACGTCGTTTAAGAGGTGGTTGGTGTTGTTAAACATGCAAATGAACTCGCCCATGTGTAGGACGGAGTAAATAAAGTTTCGAAATCAAGTTTTTTTGGGGGTTTCAGTGGGTGTCTCTCTAACCAGTTTGCTAAGTGATACCAGACACTCACTCAATTAATGAATACTTATTGAACTAAGCACTCAACTTGCAGAGTGCTGGTGACACCGATTACGGACTCTAGCAGTGCACGAGGTAAAGTTACTCTGGCGCTACTGAGTGGCACTGACTAGCAGTGACGGTGACCTGTTAAGCTGTGACTACCAGAGGAATAGTGACAACTACAGGAGCAGTGACGACCAGAGGAATAGTGATCTGAGGAGCAGTGTAAAAAAGCGAAGACAACCAGCATCTGAGCAACAGGTAGAGTGAACGACTCATCTAGTCATCGAGTGAGAGGAAGCTGTGACCATCAAACTGCTGTGTCAAAAGGTCAGGAAGTCAGCAGCAGCAGCAGCAGCAGCAGCATCCCGACCAGCTGTGTGCTGAGGCCACCCAGCAGGATCTCACAGACCTGCTCCTGTGTCAGTTCTCACCAGCACTCGCGACTTCTGGTGTTGACAATGTACACTCTTTTCTCACCTTGAAGGTTATCGCTCCGTCAGCCAAGCTGGTGCTGGAAGACCAGCCACAGTTATATCAGCTTCGAGACTAATATTAGAAGTCTTAAGTGTTCGAACCATGGGGGACACAAACGCGGACAACGCCTCAGCCGCCAGAGAGACAGAGGGTTATACAACAGAAATTGTGGTGGAAGACAAAGACGAGGCCGCTCAGAACAACGCAGCGGAACAGACAGGAGGAATGGGACAAAAAGAGGGGACTCACGAGGACGCCCAGAGCACTTGTTCCAACACGTCCACGACCCCGTCTTCTGCGTCCTCAGAGGGGGCTACCTCTTCGACGACGACTCAGGAAGCTCCGAGGGCCATCCACATCGAGGACTCGGAAAAGAAGTACAGTGTAGTGGAGCCCACTAAGCCCAAGACCTGGCTGGCTGCTTACAAGTTAGTCCCACAATCTTTAATATTAGTTTTAGAAAGGGGAACTAAATGCATTAAATGGATTAACTGTTGACAGATCACACTATATGGGTATATCATACTTGGAGAGAGGCATAGTGATTACAAGTAAATTGCTAGCTAAGGGTAGTCAGGGCAGATAGTAAGGTACTGTCCTAGCTCACGGAAATAGCCAGAAAACTACTTAACAGCCAATTAGGATACTATGTTGTCTCGTAATAGTTAACTAAGAAACATATTAGCTCAGGACAATCGGCCAGGGCTATGAGACGAGCTAGGTAAGCTCACTGCAGTCAGTTATAGACAAACCTCCTAGTTCTGAGCAGTTAACTAGGGGCAATTTGCTAATACATGACAATCAGGAAAGTTTCCGTGAAAGGTGATGGTCGTTAGGTAGGTCGATTCTCCAGCTGAGGTCAGCCAGTGTTGGGTTCCAGCTCATGGCAGCCAACCCGCCCTCACCAATAACTCATCACATATTGTTAAAAATTCCAGCGGACAAACGTGGTACTCTAACTCACAGCGACTCGGGAAAAAAAATCACTTTTTCTATGCGTGGGTCGGTCGATTAGGGGTCTAATGGGGGTTTTAGTGCATCGTTTAAAGCCCGTTGTGGCTTCGAGGGAGGATAGGCTGGTCAATCAAGTAGTCTTAACTCGTGAGATAAGGTCAGACTATTGAATCACATGCTCGGCGTAGCCTTATGTGATGTTGTTAATTCGCAACATATGTCAAGAGAGGTTAAAGGAGAACAGGCTAGACCGAGTGACCGACATTTTATACCGGAGCAAATGTCAAAAGGAAACTTTTTTTAAGTGCTACATATTTTAATGGTCCAATGTTTACCCCCCCCCCCCCGCATGCAAGTTTTATCGTTCACTGTTAAATTGTTATTAAGGGACAGTTACTGAATAGTGAAATTTGTGCAATGTTTCACCCCCAACATTGCACAAATTTCGCAAGACTAACAAGCCAGGCGCTGATGAACCCTGGCGATAACGAGGTAATTACAGCCATTACAGACTGGCGGAGATGCTATCGCTCCTCCTCTCTGGCACAGCTTAATTTAATATACTGTAAACTACTGCTTCGCAATTCTGTAAACTACTGCTTCACAATTCTGTAAACTACTGCTTCACAATTTCTGTTTCATCTGTGAAAAATAATATAATGAGTGATAGGTAGTCACCTATCACCTAGGTAGGTAGTCACTTCAAACACCTAGGATACCATGAGCCTAGGCTACAATGAAGCTACCAGTAGACCAGGCTACATTGAGGCTACCATGAGCCTAGGCTACAATGAGGCTACCAGTAAACCAGGCTACCATGAGCCTAGGCTACAATGAGGCTACCATGAGCCTAGGCTGCAATGAGGCTACCAGTAAACCAAGCTACAATGAAGCTACCAGTAAACCAGGCTACCATGAGCCTAGGCTACAATGAGGCTACCAGTAGACCAGGCTACCAGGAGACAAGGCTACAATGAAGCTACCAGTAGACCAGGCTACCATGAACCTAGCCTAACTTGAATGGCACACATGTGGTGCCTGGCTATCGAGTGAAAGTTGCTTAAAAATAACGCTGCTGTTTATATTAATTAGCACTAAGTTGTGAGCCAGCGCTCACACCTGCAGTCAATACCATCAGTTGAGATAATTTGCCTGATATTTATGGGTTCTCACAAGTAATTTGTTTTAAGTTAATTATTTGGTTTCCTCATTAATACACCTCATGCTTGT